TCCTGCAAGAGCTCAGAGATGAGCACCACTTCAGGGAACTCCAGGGTTCTAGGTCTGAGAGTAAGTCCAGACTTGTATGGTTACTCACTTGAAGTTGAAAAAGCAACCAAACCTTACTCTCCATCATTTCCACTTAAACAATAGTAGATATAAACTTTCAGTTTTTAGATTTTGTGTGTTTTTCCCCCCTTCAAAATAAACAAGCTAGCTAAAGATTAGTAGAAAATATTAATATTCAGTACAGGTGGCAAACCAGTTTCAGAGGCAATCTGGGTAGGTTTCTCAGGGTCTGTGGGTTCTGGATCGACAACAAGACCTCAAGCTCCATTACTCAGTGGACCTCAGATTCTCCTCCATGAAATGAAAACTTAGGTCGTTCTCCAGATGTAAGAAAGAAATGAAGGGGAAGCAGAAATGGAGCAAACCTGTTATGTCTCCTGGTTGACAATTAACTTTTGCTAATAAATAAAGTAAAAGCCCATCTTCAGACTCTTTAATGACCAAGTTTAGTGTTTATCCAAGCAGAACAAGCAGCACAGACAGGCTGATTACTTACTTGTCACAAAAATAATCTCCAGACAGGGAGAAAATGGGAAGAATATGGACAAGGATGTGAGAGGATGCATGGAGGGAGAACAACAAGTTCACTAAAGAAGACTGGATATAAAGTACAGTGCAGGGAACATAGTCAACAATATTGTAATAACTATATATAGTGTCAGATAAGCACTAGACTTATTGGGGTGATTACTTCATAAGTTATATAAATGTCTAACCACTATGTTATACACCTGAAACTAGTATAATATTGTCTGTCAACCGTGGTTGTTTTTTTCTTTTAAAATATATTTGTATTGATTTCAGAGAGGAAGGGAGGGGGAGAGAGAAATAGAAATATCAATGATGAGCGAGAATCATTGATTGGCTGCCTCCTGCATGCCCCCTACTGGGCATGTGCGCTGATCAGAAATCAAACTGTGACTTTCTGGTTCATAGGTCAATGCTCAGCTACTGAGCCATGCAGTCCAGGCGGTGTCAACCGTAATTGGAAGAAAAAAAAAAAGGGAGGACCACAAAGACCACATTCGAAAAGACTATCACCCACAGCTGAATCAGCTCCAGGCCATGGTCCAACTTCGGGAAACCAGATGGATTTTCCATTCTTTCTAGTCCAAAGAGCTCTCTGAAGATTAGACTGGTTCTGGCGCTGGTCTGGCTCCGTCAGGGCTTCCTCAGGTAGAGAGATGCCCTCCAGTCTGGGAGTTTCGGGGCCAGGCTGAGCTCATAATAAAATAAAATGGCTTCAAAACTGTTCCAGACCAGGCTTGCTCTTCTGGGATCCCCAAACTAGTAGTAAAGTATATTTAGGATATTTCAGCTTGGGCAAGAGTTCCCCAGAGTCTTCACTCAAAAAACTGATACAGCCCTGTCTGGTTTGGCTCAGTGGATAGAGCGTCGGCCTGTGGACTGAAAGATCCCAGGCTCGATTCCAGTCAAGGGCATGTACCTTGGTTGTGGGCACATACCCAGTGGGGAGTGTGCAGGAGGCAGCTGATGGGTGTTTCTCTCTCATCGACGTTTCTAACTTTCTATCCCTCTCCCTTCTTCTCTGTAAAAAAAAAAAAAAAAAAAAAAAAATCAATAAAAAAATATATAAAAAAAACTGATACAAATAGGTGGGAAAGTAGGGGATCGGTGGGATAGGCTTGTCAAGGATTTACCTCTTATTCAATGAAGGTTGTGTAATCAGTCAAAAATACTTGAAGCACCTCCTATAAGTAGGTGCAATGCTATGAGTGTGATAACCTATATAAAACAGCACTTTTTCTTTTAATTCTCAGGAAACTGAGATAAGAAAGAGAAGTCATAATAGTAGTAAAAGTAGTAGTTCCATACAATACTGAAATTGGACACAAGATAGGATAAAGACCTCTGTACTCATATGCTTATCTTTACCTGGGTTTGTAATCTTCCCAATTCTCAGGCCCAGGAATCCAGGCACACCTGCTCAAGGCCATTCTTGACGTCCTTCAGGACCCTTTCTCAATCCCATCTCTTGTTGAAGGCCATTGGTACATTGCAGCTTTCTTATGGCACTTACCACATGTAGGATCATGTTATTTTTTATTTTTATCTATTAGACTCTTATTACTAATATCTGTGCACATATTGCATCTGGCAGACTAAGACAAAACACAGACCTCAACTCTGCATCTCTTACCAGGAACATCAATACTTGTTCAATTTAAATTGAGTTTCTAATTGAATGCTAAATGAATAGATTTTCACAGCAATGCACAATACTTTTCATCTTACATGCACATTCCCTTTGATTAACAGTGGTTGTCTGGAGCATAGTTTTGGGGATTCTGCCCCGTAACAAAGCTCTGTGGCAAAGGGGGCTGTAATCAATTAGTGATGTCTGCCTAGGTCAGGACTGGGGGTGGTGGTGCAAATGCAGTATAACTTGGGAATGTAAATTAAGGGTTATTAGAGTACAGCAAAGAGATTAGAGTACTACACAGTCAGAGAAGTCTGTATGATAAAAGTAAAAATTAGATCTTCAAGGATGGGTAGGACAACAGTGGGTGAAACACAAGCAAAAGTACTAGAGTAGGAAAGTACAACACAACCTGGTAAAGCAAGGATGAGGCAAGTTCAAATAGGAGGTTTACAAAGAATGGGGGAAATGCTGTGATGCTCCAAGTTAAGGGACAGAATAAAGAATAGCCAAGAGATCTCCTCCCCCTCTCCTCGCCCTCTCCTCCCCGTCTTCTCCCAGTGGGGGGGGGGGGGGGGGGAAAGAAGAGCCAAGAGACAGAGAAGGGATGGAGCAAGAGGGAAGATAATAGGCTTTATTTAGTTATGTCCAAGAGTGAATTGAAGTCTGCAAGAATGATTTGAACTCTCTTCTTTTTTTAAAAAAAATCCTCACCCAAGGATATTTTTTCCATTGCTTCCCCCCCCCCCCCCCCCAGTTTTTATCATCCCTGTAGTCCATTGATTTTTTTAAAGAGCGTGGAAGGAAAGGAAGGGGCAAGAGAGCAAGAGCGAGAGAAACATTGATGTGAGAGAGGCACATCGATTACTTGCCTCCTGCACACACCCCGACCAGGGCCAGGGATGGAACCTGCAACTCAGGTACATGCCCTTGACCTTGACTGGGAATGGAACCGGTCACCCTTTGGTGCGTAGGCCAATGCTCTAACCACTGAGAAAGACCAGCCAGTGCTGAATTGAAATTTCAATTAGGTATATCAAGGTTTGCCAGGAAGGAAGTGGCCTTGCTTAATGGTTAATAACCTTAAGTTTTGCAATCAGGTAGTTCTGGGTATAAATTCCAGTTCTGACTCTGACCTCAGCTGGATAACTTAAGCCTTGTAAGTCTCAGTCCCCTCATCTGTAAAATAAGTAAATGCCCTACTTCATTGTGCTGAGGGTCAAATGGGGAAGAAATATGCATTAATCTCATAGCAAGCCCTCACTAAGTATTAGCTATTACACTTGGTTAACCATAGGAAAAAGAACTTTTCAAAAGAGAAAATGTCTACCTCATTATCTCATAATTTGGGGAATCTCATGTGAAACCTATACAATAGTTAGGTGGCCCAGAAAACAATTAAGTATATGAAATACGCAGAGAAATAGAGACAGATCACTTTATTTTCTAGTAATGGGAAGAGGCTTGGACTTTAGGCTTTCTATAGTTAAGCATTTCTGGGGATGGTGCACTTTTTTCTTGACTTAATTCTTTACTGAGTTATAAGGAACCAGGTAACTCTCAAGCAATAGAACGGTGATAGAAAAGTAATTTAATTATATGATCTCACTTAAGCTCTCTCCTCTAAGAGATTCCCTCTTAGTTGAGTAACTAAATGCAGTTTTAACCATTTGAGAGCACTGAGCCCTGAGATGTTGTCTCAGTGCTGTAATAAGAGTAAAGACACACAGGGTGGACCCCCTCCAAGGCTCTTTCTGAATTGAAATTCTAGCCCCAAAGGCCATCTCTTTGCTTCAACATGCAGACCTAGCAGAAAGTCCCATGATGCGAGATTCAGGAGCCTTCCTGGACACATGAAGATTTGCTGTGACAACTGTCCTGTCTGTGCACATGGTTAGGGGCTCTGCAACCAAAAGGGCCCAGGGAACAAAGCCTTCAACTGGAGCATGGAGTGACTGGTGAGAGGGTCTTATCTCCTCGCGGTGGGCCTGGGTCTCCAGGTGGAAAATGAGGCACAGTGTCCTCCCAGCCTGACTGAGTGGGGATGGCGGCCCTGAGCTCACACAGCTGGGCCTGGACCTGGGAGAGGAATGATCCGGGACACCCAGCGTGAACTTTCTGTGAACGGGGCGGGGTCCATCCATCCCAGAAAATTCAGGAGTATTTGCTGGGAAGGAAATACCCTACCCCTGGTAATGGGACAGACAGTCCAAACCCAGGGTTAGCAACATTTCTGGCAAGGAGTGAGTCACCGAAACACTTCCTTTCCATTAACAGAGGTGTTACTGTGCAGCGTCTTAATTGCAACAGAGCACTCTTTGTTGCAATGTGGGGCTGTTTCTTCAGCAAGTATAATGAATTACCTCCTTCCAAATCTATCTGTGAGCTAAACTATAGCTCCGTAAGTGAATTATTGGCTTAATAGTACCATCTCCAATACTGCCTTCTATTAGACGTATGTGTAACATTCAAAATAGGAAAGGCCATTGAAACACGTGCTACTTTAACAGACACTGCTGCAGGGGAGTTTAAATGGGCCACTGGATGTCATCTAAAATGAGTGCATTTTCTTTAATAGGGCTCGAGTCCCCACAGTATACGTGACCCCAGATCTCCAGCGACACCAACACCAGGGAGGCCTGCAATTCCTCAGGCAAACAGAGCTCCTCTGGCACGAGGCGTGTCACTGACTCCCTCCCTACAGGACAGTTATTTTCAGTCTCAGCTCTGTTAAAGGTAATCACAATTTCTCACAATTAATTAATGTGGAAACCGTTTTCTCTCTGCAAGCAAGTGCTCACAGGATGATCCCACTTATGTACACCTTGTCTGGCTAACCCAGGGTTTTTACCCATCTGAGGCACTACTCGAGCCCTACCACATCGTGACTTAGCACACAGTAATTTCGTGTGTCATGTGAAGCTTCCCTTATTTCTTACGCCTGCTGCTCAAATCTGTAAACACTGCATCACAGATTAAGCAACATCTAACAAGATGCTGAGTATTTATCAACCATCTTCTCTTTTCTGAGTACGAAAGCTGAATAAGTCAGACAGACAGACAGACAGACACACAGCCCCTTTCCCTTTTCTATGCACTTTAGTGATTTACAAAGTCCTCCCTACAGATACACTAAGAATGTCTCTATACCAACCCTGATGTGCAGAGTCTAACACTTAAAATAAATTTTTAAGATTCATTTTATAATTTTGTGTCTAGATAATTTTGTGTGAGGTTTTGGTTTGATAGACTTTAGGCACATACTATGCCTAGAACAACCAAAAATCAGAATCTTTTTAGTGATTCCCTAAATCTGATTTGATTTCAAAAATAGGCACTCAAAGCCCAAAATTCCTTTCCTAATTGTTCAATATGTGGAACTCGGGCCAAGCCAGCCAAAGGAACTTTCTTTCTAAGGTACATAAGTAGCTGTGTGCAAAATATATATACTAGTACACATCTAGAAATAGCATAGGTTTACTGAACTCATATTACTACTCTAATGGATAATCTAATACTGACACAGAACATTGCCCTGGTAATAGCCCCATATACAATTTACATTATTATACTCAAGTCACTGATTAAACAGTTCAAATGCAGAACAATTGAGTCAACGTCAATGTCATTTTATCCTCCAGTAATGACCTTTAACCCTCCCTCAGTTCCCATGGAAGAGTTTCTCTGCCTCCTAGCAATGAACCAAGGAATTACTATACAATCATAGAGCTAAAGGATCATAAAACTAAAAGGAGCCCCAAGAGATTTTCTAACCCAAGGTCAGCAATTATTCAGGACACATGCTACTACTTCCTGATCCTAAGCCTTTGACAGACATCAGCAATCAATTTCAGAACTTTTGTTTCCAATCCACTGTCAACAAACCTATCGTACGGGATATAAATGGGAGTTGGCACATGAATGGAATCCTCTTTGCTCTTCTACCTAATCTAAACCCCTCTTCTTTCTGATAAGAAACAAAGGCCCAGAGAGTTTAACTATCAGATATACTTTCTTACATAGCTTTTGAGTGTCTCATTTACTTTAAGTTCTCATTTTATTTTCAAGTTAGACTTTGAGCTCATTTATTCACTCAATAAACCAAGACAATGCCTTACTAACTCTCTGGGTCATAAACGACTCAACAATTCAACTCATGTATTGAGACTACCAGCCTTGTGACAGGTGCTGTGGGTACTGAGAGGACCAACACAGAACTCCTTCCCTCAAAGACTTATGGGCAGTAAGAGAGACAGAAAATTAGAATATATTCTAACTAATAAATACCAAGTAGACATTGGTTCAGTACAGTGGGAGAGCATCATAATTCTTTTCAAGCTGGTGTCCCTCCCAGGACTCCCTCTTCTGCTAGAGGTCACCCCCCCCTTCTCCTGTGGACCAAACCCAGCCAAGCCCCCTCAGGCTACCCCACGGAAGACGTGGCATAGCTGTCTTTTCCTTTCCACTCCCAATGCGGCTGTCCAGTGGAGGTCTCCATCTCTCCCTGCCTGGACCTTCACAGTAAACCCCTGGGGGTCAGCCCACCTGCACGTTTGCCCTCCTTGGATCCATTTTCCACATCCATCCACCTCAATGATCTTTTCTAAGCACAGCTCTAACCTTGTTACTACCCAATTTAATTCATCCTCAGGACCACGTCCAAACTCGTCAGCACGGCATTGCAGGTCCCCCAGGATCTGCCCCTGACCTCCTGTGCAGCCTGGCTTTTTTGTTTTTCCCTGTCACTCAATTGCACCCTCTACTCCAGTCACACCAAGTCACTTAATTAAAAGGTAGGAAGGGCAGAATTTAGAGGCAGAAAGAAAAGCAAGGTGGCCTCATGGGCAGAGGGGTAAGGGTAGGTCTGAGCCCAGAGTGGAAGCCAGCCTGGCTAAGCGGTCTGGCAAATGCCACTGGAGCAGTGTTTCTCCACTGCACACACTGCAATTCTGAGAGCCCCGTGGAGACACACTGCTGCCCCTTCTCAGCCTCAGTGCATGGTATAGAATTCCTATTCCCCACTCCACCACGGCTCTCAACCAGGGGACCATGACTCCCAGGTGGATCAGCAAGGAGATGGGGAGCAAGATGTAGGAGGAGAAGCAGTCTGAAGGGGGAGGAGGGAAGGAACAGGAACATCTGGTGTTGCCAATCATTATTTGAATCTCAGTTTTCTCATCTATATAATGGCAACAAAGGTTACTTTATAGTTGCGCACTTTTTTTTTCCATAAGCATTTCCTAAGATTTCACTAGCCATGATGGAAATGAGATTAGACAAGTGTAACAAGTAAAATACATACATAGGTTAACTGCACTAGCCTCCTAAACTGGTATCACTTTTTCTGCTCTTGCATCTGCAGTCTATGGTCAAAACAGCTGCCGGGGAGAGCTGATTAAAATACAACCAGACCATGTCACTTCTCTGCTCCAAACCTTTTAATGGTTTCCCATCTCTCAGTAAAAAGTCAAAGTCCTTAAATAGAAGAGCTTACACCATCCTAGTGCTCTGTCCCCGTCCTAGCCTCCTGCCTCATCCACCCTTCCTCACTCCACGCCATGTGCTTTCTCAAATAAGCCAGGATGCTCCCCAGGTAACTGTGCCCATGTTCCCTCACCTCTTTTGTCTCAATTTGATCATCACCTTCTCAACAGAGCCTTCCCTGTAACCCTATTTAAAACTGCACCCTGAGGAGAGACCAAGATGGCGGCATAGGTAAACACCGGAGACTG